CAACTGAAAAAATGAAAATGGTGAAGTTGGTTAGAGGTGTTACAGTCTGTAGCTAGGGCTTGGGATAGCTTCAATGGATGGTAGGGAGTGTGTATGAACAAGCTTTGGCCAAAACGCACGAGCAAACTGAGTTGTGCAACTCAATCTGCAGGGATGCCCTGTTTTGTGCAGCAAAGTGGTGTTTCTGTGTTTGGGGAGGTATTGAAGGTGGTTGGCTCATGTTTTTGGTTAGGTTTGATGTTTGGAATGTGTTCAATAAGTTTTCTTAGGCTTGTGTTGACAGGAATGTGAGTTGTCTTTCAAAATGCCAAGTTTCTTCTATCTTAAGCAAAAAATGACAAGTTAGGTTACAATCTCCTCTAGGCCCCTCAAGTATGCTGCAAATGTTAGTCTTGATCAGTAGGATATGTTCATCAACTTGTGCCTCAGAGATTTGCTTTGGTACTTCTTAGATTTGTGTTTGACATAAAGTCACTCTTTACAAGAATGGATAACTTACTTTTTCTATATATGGATTAATTTGGCATGTAATGGTTAAACACACAAGATAAGACTTGAACACAAAGGATTGGCATTAAATTATTGAGTGTGGATGAGATAAAAGGCCTGCAATCTAGTTGTGCAAGCTGAGTTCAAAAATGCCTAAGTTATGAACATGAAAATGGCCATGAACAAAGTGACTTTTGCCCATATTGACAAATTCGATTCTCCCTAACCACAAGGGTGTTTGAGAAGTTCTTGGACAATTTGGAAAGCTTGGAATGTGTACTACAATCCATCTTTGTAATGCAAGTTGAAATTCCAAGTGGAAGCATGTGAAAAATGGCCATGAAGTTAGGCAAAAATCCTGCCTAGAATAGGTCAAAAAATTTCTAAGTTAAGAATGTTTTGCACCCCTATTCCAAAAATTATAACTTGAGCTACAAGCTTCTTTTGAGAAAACTTTGTGAATCAAAGTTGTATATTTTGCAATGGACTATAACTTTCATGTTTTGAGTTTTGTTTGAATCCAAATGTATCTTGATGAAAAGATGGGACAAAGTTAGGAAATAATTAGGAAATTTCATAACTTAGAAAAATTCTAAGTTATGAAATTTCTTCATTTCAAACCCTAATTTGTAATTTTTGATTTCTTGATGAACAAGTTTCATAAATTGACATGTCTTGATGAAAAATGAATCTTGACACTTGATTTTGACCAAAAAGTCAAAGTTTGACTTTTCAGTATACAGTCAAATTTTGCTCAGTTGACTGGAAAATTCATCTGTCAATCTTGTGCATTTGGGATCTTTTGAACTTGTTGAATATGTCAAGACAATTCCATTGAGTCCTTGAGTCCATATGTGAGCTTGGTTTGCCATTGGCTAGGTCAAACAGTCAAAAATTGCCTTTGTGCAGTCAAAACCCTAAAAATAATCATTTTGCCCTTTTGGTGATCTGATCAAATTTCTTGTGGATTTGTGATCCAAACTTGATAAAATGGTCCATATGAGTTCATAATGTTGATGTGGGTCAAAAATCATGAGGTTTGATTGTCAATTGACCACAGTTGACTTTTTCCCCAATACAGCTGATTTCTAGGTCAACTGTCCAATTGATAGGGCAAAGATTGGAATCAAGGCTTGAAACTTGGTATGGATAAACTTGTGAGTCCAAAATGAAGCATGAAAGTCACTTTGGGCCTTTTAGGTCAAAACATCTTTGTGCAAACTCAAACCCTAATTTGGGTCAACAGTGCAAGGAGGAGTCTTGAGCAGAGCAAACCCTAACTTGATCTTGAGCTCCAAGGGTCTTGTGATGAGAAAATATTGAGGAAATGGGAGGGCAAATTTTGGGGTACAACAAGGGCACAATCTCCATTGTAATAACGTATATTTATTTTCCACATCTCTTTTCTTATTATGTATCTGCTCACAAGATGTAATAACATAGGAAATTTATATTCTCGCATTTATATTTTTATGCTATGATTAGTAACTAGGGTTTGTATGGAAAAACTAATAATTGAACCTAGAAAACCTTAATTATCAAGATAAATAACTGAAAACAAACACTCTTCACACTTGCACCTTTAGGGTATCTTCCCTTGTTGCATTACAAAATATTGGTCATGTTCCTCGAAAGTGGGGATACTTTAGCAAAAGACCCTCAATCAAATCATCATGTCCCTTTCAAATAAATATCATAATCCCTCAATGACCCTTCGAGCATCCTAAAAAATGATCTAGTCCCTTCGAGTTGCCTACAAAATGATGATAGTCCCTTCGATACAATTGCTAAAGTATCCTTACTTGTTGCCTTCGATGACCATACGGTGACCCTATGCATGTCCCTTCACATCCAATAGATAGGCTACCTACCAACTAATGGTATGCATAGTACTATCTCTAAAGGAGAAGGAAAAGAATAAGAAAGACTTTAGTGGGTAACAAACTCTTGAATGCTTCCTCACAAACAAAACTTTTTTCAAACAAATCACATAGAAAGCAAGATTTTCAAAGTGAGCTAAGTAATTAAGAGCCTGTAGATAACTATGAATGAAAAGGGTGCTAACACCATCCTTTTTCATATCTTACCTCCCCCTCCCCTGAACTCAAAATCTATCAATGGTCTTTCCTGTTCTTTTCACCTTCCTAAATATTGGATAAAAGAAAAGTCGATGGCGACACTAGCTATCCGCATATTTGGATAAAAACAAAAAAAAGTTAGTTCTCCCACCGTATTACAGTACCCTCACCAAAAATTTAAATAAATTGTAGCTTAGTCGATTTGAAGAAAACCAGAAGAAAAAAGTTGAATAGGGATTTGAAAATTCATGATCGAAACTCACTTCCAGTTAAAAATAAAAGATGCGATGAGTATCAGAGTGATGAGAGCTTCATTGTAGTAATAAGTTATGAGGTAATTGATGGAGGAATCTACTTGTTGAGGTTCAAATTCATAGCTCTGAAACTTGACTTGGCTAGAACGATTTAGGACACTTCAAGGCTTGGTTCTTCTTATGTTAACTTAAGTGATGTTCAAGGATAAAGAATTAACAAAGAAATTGGATTGAAAAATGTTGTAGAACCAAATTCGAAGTTATAGAATTATGAGTTATAGAGAGAGTTTGGCAGGGTAATTTTGGTTGTCCAAACTTGTGAAAATGAGTGGAGTGGGTCTGTATTTATAGGATAAGTGAATGCAATGCTGAGAGACAGTGAATGATAAGTGCTGTATGCCAAAATTTGCCCTCTTAATTTTTCTTATCTGACTTAGGCTTTTGCATTCACCTTCACATAGCATGCATTTTCATTCAATAAAATGCCAGAGGTTCAAAAGAATTAGTATTTTGGCAAGTAGGGTTTTCAGCTCTTTTGATGTGTACATATCAAGTAAGACTATTTCTTCTGATTTTCTCTTCAAGCAGGGAAGTATTGGAATTAGCTTTTGGGGTTTGGTTTGATTTTGATTAAAGTTTTCGAGGCATTGTGATGCTCATCAAGACTTTGATTCATGCTAAGCATTGGAAGAATCATGTATTTGGATTCCCTGTCAAGCAAGTAACTTGGGTCTTAAGTCACTTTATTGAGTCCATCCATTTCATTCATTCAACATTATTCATCATGTTCGTGTTCATCAACCATAATTGAAGGCCAAACAACTTGGGTATTTCAAGTTCATATATCATGGAAATTTCAAATTCAATGTTCAATGATTTCATGATCATTTCAAGTTCTTTTTGAATTTAACATCAAATGTTCATGTTTATGTTAAGGCTAAGGAACACATTATTTCTTGCCATTTCAAGCTATTAAGTATGTACATATCCGACATATGCAAACATCATTCAAGATGGATTTTTCATTTGGTAAAAAATGAGGCATTTTCAGTTGGTGCAAATCAATTCAAAAGACATTCAAATTTTGCGCAAGATGGTAAGATGTTACTTGATCGAATACATGCCTAAAGATCATTCAAGTACAAATTCAAAGATCCATTCAAGGTTCATTACAAGTTTCAACCAAGATTCACTCAAGTGTTGATTTAAACCTCAACTGTTGTCCAAGCTTATTGTTCGGGTTTCATTATCAAGTGACATTTAATTTCATTCATCTCAAATTCAAGTAAGAGTACCATGGTCAAATATTATGTAATAATAGAAAAAGAAGTTTGCTTTAGATTAAAATCAATCATCGAACCTTAAAGACTACAAGAAGAGAGTCATTACAAAAGGAGAATCATGTGTTCATAGGACTTTAATATTACATTACCAAGTTTTCAAGTTCAATAAATCATACACCATTTCAAAATTACAAAGAAACATTACAAAAAGTTCAAGTTCTATTATATCCTAAAAAGGTTTTTAGACCAAGTTTTCTCATACTCCACATTCCATTTCCGACTTAAATTTCACCACCAAGTGAACGAGAGCTCTCTTCTTCACTGAGCATTTTTCTCTGAGTTTGATACTCTCATTTTCAACAACCATGGTTGTGCTCAGAAACTCAAGGAAGCTGAAATCACCAAACAGGATTCACTTCTTCTGATAAGGAATCTGCTCTGAATCGCCATTTTCAACATCAGTACCTAAGAGAAGCAGAGAAAATCAAAAGAGGTAAAATATATCGGTTTAGCCGCATTTATTCAAGAAGAAAGTTAGAAAGTATAAAGAGAGAAACCGTGAAAACAGAAAATAGAGAAAAAGTTTGAGCAACCTCAGAAAAAATCTCATCCATCCGAATCTCTAATAGAAATGCAAATCTAACAGCTCAGATTTACTTTAATGTAACTAACTTTCAGCAATAACAGAATATAAAAGAGAAAACTCACCAGAATCATTTCATTCTTCAACTCTTTGAAAGAATCACAGAAAAACCTCTAACAAAATTCCTCTGAAATCTCTCTTCAACTCTATCTGAGTTCTTCTACACTTCAATCATCATCACAATCCATGTATATCCTCCGTCTTCTCTCTTCAATCACCACCTTCATCAATATCAACGCATCCACATTTGTGTTTAAGAATTAAAATACACAATTTCAGTATCAACGAAACTCGCAAGAACGAGCAACAATCGCAGCAAACACAACAATATCTCAAAGATCAAACCTGGGGGCTTAAAAAAGAAATCGAATAGAAGAAGAACATGAAAAACTGTGAAGAGAGATGTGCGGTCTTGAAGATTCTGACTCAGTGTGAAAGCCGTCGAAACCTCACCGGAAAATTCGTTTCTACCAACCTTCATTATCTTAGATCGCGTCTTGATTTTATGGATATACATCGGTTCAAGGATTCCTCAATGTTTTGGCTCGTGTTGAAATTCAGGCAAGTTATTTGTTTTTGTGCCATCCGGGAATCGCGAGGAAGAATCAGAAATAGATTGATAATGATGATGGCGAAGTGATCCGTCATGGACAAAGGTTGGGTCGCGACGGTGATGAGAAGTAGAGGATATGAGAGTCTGAGGTGAAGGTGGACGAATCACAAATGGAAGCTAACTGGTGCTCAACTTGATATGATAACCACAATGGAGAACTCTATCCGAGATGAAGGTTGAGTCGCGAGTGCAGTTGGATTCAACGAAGATGATTCACGGTCGTTAGAGACAGAGATTAGCAGAGCAAACTGCGAGTCTGAATGTTGAAATGTGTGACAAACTCGAAAAGGAGATTGAAGTGTGAGACAAATGGAGACAGATCGGGGCGGTTTTTCACCGCGAATGCGAGAAGAGAAAAAATCGCAACGACACCGTCTGAACAAGAGAGAACAAGACTAGATTCTCGTAGAAGCTGGACAACCACAAAACTCAATCCTAATTTTCGCGTATCCCTTTTTTAATTTCTTGTTTATGCTTGTTTTATTATTCAAATGCAAATAGATAATGAATCATGCTAAATGGAGAATCTGGTGGGTTGAGATAATGGCCTGAGCCGAGCAATACTCCTCCATAGGCCCATCTGCTAGATTTTTGGCAGCCTGATTGTTTGAACAAAAAAGGAGCCATTGGAATTTTCAAGTTTGGGCCTAGCGACTGGTTCTTCTATTGTAACACCCCTGTTTGTTAGCTTGCATCCCCTCTAGGCCCGTTTTTCCAACAAAAAATAGCACCATGGATCATTTCTGCTTGGCCTAGTGCCCGAATTACTTCAACACACCTCCTGGATTCCGACTTGCACTCCCTGGGCCCTTTTTCTATTTGCAATCCTTTTTTATTAATTTTGGTATTCATTTCAATTTGTTTGAATTTTCTTCACATGATAAAATAATAAAATAAATAAAATTTGCTAGATTTTTTATATTTTATTTTAGGAATTAAATCTCGATTATCCGATTACTCGAGATTGGTAATTCACCTTTTCTTGTTGAGATTTGAGTTTTATGCAAGTTTATCGTGTGATATATGGATGTGCTTGAGATTCCGATTGTGATTTATTTTCACATCGATGATATTTCGACGCTTATTCCAGGCATATGATTTCTGACTCTTTTCTTTGATTGTTGAAGCTTACTCGAAGTTTTCCGGATTTCTCTTCTTTGCTTGTCATGCTACGAACTCTTGTTCGTTTGGTATTTTCTCATGTTTCTCATTTCAGCATTTACCGCTTTCTAGAGATCATGTATAGTATGGGCATTTATCGCTTTCTAGAAATCATGTGAAGTAGGAAGCAGGAAATAAAGAGTGTGCGCTCAAAGTATCTGTTTAAAGTCCATTAGCAGGCACCGCTTTTATATGCTAATTGTGTTTGTTTAAAGTCCTATCTTTGAATAGGAAATTCTACACGTGTTTTTATTTTTCTCGCATGTCTTGTTTTTGTGCCGTTCTTGATGATCAGTTTGGTACTTGGTCTTGGATTCATTCTCAATGATGAGTTTGTTCCAAGTGGATTTGATTTACATTACTTTTTGTCATTTAAAATTATGTCAAAAATACAAAGAAAGGAATAATAATGTTGTGCGCCTGGTTCATACCTGGATGGGATTTTCCCTTTGAGGCTTGGTTTGGTTCATTCTCGATGATGAGTTTGCTCCCTCTTTATTTTACTTGTTTCACAAGCATAAAAATAAAATAAATACTTGGATTATGTGTCGTGGTTTATTCTCGATGATGAGTTTGTTCCCTCTTTTGTGTCGGTTCACTCTCGATGATGAGTTTGTTCCATTTGCTCATTTTTCTCATGCGCTTATATCTCTGTACCCTTCGTACTAGCTTTCTTCCATTTTCCATGCTCCCTTAGGGCTTGTGATTTATTCTCGATGATGAGTTTATTCTGAATTGAATTTAGGATGGTTCTTTCTCGGATGAGTTGGTTCCTAGGAAACCTTGGTCAGAACCTTAAGGCAATGTTTGTATGATAACTTTAGGCTAGAAATAGGTTAGTCCCATGTAGACTCCTCCTTTTTTCCCTACTTTGCATGTGCATAAAATACACTCTTTCTTGGAAAATCTTTGAAACGCCTCTAATAAACTCAAAATCCTTTCGTAAAGGTAAAAGACACAAACAAATTCAAACTTCTTTTTCTTGCCTTTGGGCTTTGCAATTTCAAACTAGATGTGTTATTTTCCCTCTTCGCAATACGACGCGTAATTCCCCAAGGGTCGGGTTGCACTATGTCCCTTGCTATGAGTCGCGACTATAGCATTATTCATCTCCGGGAACTTTTTGAGCACATTGATTCCTTTCTACTCCATATGCGTAAGTCTCTAAAGGTCGAGCTACAGGTAGAATGCGAAATTGATATCGTTCCATAAAAAATACAAACTTACAAAAACTATTGAGCCGAACTACAGTTGCTCTAATTCCTTAAAAGGGATACGTAGGCGGAGGATTTTGTGGGGCCTAATCGAGCACAATTTATAAATACTACTTTCTTTTCCCAACACTTTTTTCTTCTTTCTTTTGCATACATACCTTGTACAACTTAGATATAGATTCTTATACACCCTTTAGCAAAATAATAAGAGTGGACACCATAGAGTACTACAGACGTGTGGGGTGCTAATACCTTCCCCTCGCGTAACCAGCTCCCTTACCCTATTTCTTGTTCGAAAGACTGTGATTTCTCCCTTTCAGGTTTTCTTCGATATTTCAATTTCTCCTTCGTGAGATAAATAGATGTTCAGTGGCGAATTCATTGATTTTTATCCGATGAGTTTTTACCAGTTCCTTCAATAAGTAATCAAGTGAAATTGGGCACACCCTTATCATGACAAAAGTGTGACTTGCAAGTTGTCAAAACTCAACCATTTCTTGTGTTTCAATCCTTAATCCGTCCTTAGCAACTTTGTTAAATATGTTTAAGTGGAAAACACGCACAAAATTGGTGTTTAGAAGCCACATTATGAAAATCAAAATTCGACTGTTTTGAGAAAATCATTTTCAAGGTGCCAACTTTAAATCCATGGTGCACCCAACTCAAGAGGCTTTAGGGCATAATTCTTGAAGCATTTGAAAGACCATGTCACAATCTTTATAATGTACCAAGAAAGACTTCATTTGGATGGTTGAGCGGAAAATTATGTCCAATTGAATTTATGAAAAACACATAGATCTTTTGTACTTATGTAACTGCCCTGAAGCCTTGTAATAGTCTTAGGTTTACATTCCGCATTTTACATCCCGTACTATATTTGTTATGCAACTGCTAGTAATTAGGGTTTGTATTGCAAGATAAAATCAACCGATAGCAAAACCTTAATTCCAAGATAAATAACTGAAATAAACACAATTTCACACTCACACCTATAAAGTAACCTCTCTTCGTTTCCTTTCGGAATAACGGTCATGTCCCTAGAAAGTAGGGATGCTTTAGCAATAAACCCTCAAATAAAGATCATAGTCCCTCAATGACCCTTCGATGTTTCCTACGAAAATGATCTAGTCCTTTACGAAATTGATAAAGCATCCTTACAAGTTGCATTCGATGACTGTACAATAACCCTTGGCTTGTCCATTCACATCCAATAGATAGGGCTACATACTAACTAATGGTACGTATAATACTATTTCTAAAGGAAAAGGAAAATAATAAGTATGACCTTGAGTGGGTAAGAAACTGTTAATCGCTTGCTCACAAACTTTTCTAAAACATTTCTCACATCACACTTTCAAAACAACAAATATTTTCAAACACTTTGTATACATTCTTGAGGACTGATACAAGAGTTATTACAAAGTTCTCCTTACATTGGAAATTCAAAATATTTTCAAAACACAAACGAAAAAGCAAATTTTCAAAAGTGACCTAAGCGATTAAGATCCCGTAGATAACTACAGATGAATAGGGTGCTAACACCTTCCCTTTTCATAACTTACCCCCCGAACTCAAAATCTATCAAAGTCTTTCGTATTCTTTTCACCCTTTCCTTATTGGATAAAAGAAAATTCGGTGGCAACTCTTGCTATCCGTAACATTTGCGGTAAAACTCTAAACAAGTCAGTTCTCCCACCATATTACCGTATGCTTCCATAATTTTTCCAGAATTTAAAAATCAAGAAAATTATTTTTAATCAATTAAAACAAGTTAAATAAAGTAATTTTTTTTATAAAATATCAAATCACAAAATAAAATTGTGAAAAATAAAATCAAAAAGAGAAAATTCAAAAGTATTTTTAAGAATTTTTTAAGAATTTTAGAAGTTGAAATGAATTTTATTATGAATTTTTGAAGTTTAAAACAATTAAAATATAAAAATCAGAAAATAAAGATAAAACCAAAATGATGTAGACCATTGGATCAATGTCAAAATGCGTTAGTTATCAAATCAAAGGGATCTGGCGCGTTGTGCACATCATGGTCATTAGTGAGTAAACCACCAGATCATTAATTAAAAAAATTTGAAAAAACAAGTAGCGCCTTGTCGTTGGTTGACAGATGACACCTTGGTCATCTTTAACCTCTAGCCACGTGAATTGCATGTCTCACAAACTATAAAATCAGGAGCTCATATTGGTGCCATTTGCTTCGTCTCTTCAAGATGATTTCAATTGTACCCTCGCAAAAAATTTATATAAACTGTAGCTCTGTCGATTTGAAGAAAACCAGAAGAAAAAAGTTGAATAGGGATTTGAAAATTCATGAACGAAACTCACTTTCATTTAAAAACAAATGATGCGATGAGTATCAGAGTTATGAGAGCTTCATTATAGTAACAAATTTTGAGAGAATTGATGGAGGAATCTACATGTTGAAGTTCAAATTCAGAGCTCTGAAACTTGACTTGGATAACACGATTTAGAACACTTCAAAGCTTGGTTTTTCTTCTGTTATCTTTAGTGAAG